CAATTTTCAGGCATTTTTGCGTTTTTTTCAATTCTCAGGCATTTTTGCGATTTTCGCAATTTTCAAGCATTTTTGCGATTTTTGCAATTTTCATGAATTTTTGCAATTTTCAGGAATTTTTGCAATTTTTGCAATTTTCAGGAATTTCTGCGATTTTTGCATTTTCAGGAATTTTTTCAATTTTCAGGCATTTTTGAGATTTTCGCAATATTTTTGCAATTTTCATGAACTTTTGCGATTTTTGCAATTTTCAGGAATTTTTGCAATTTTCAGAAATTTTTGCAATTTTTGCTATTTCTGCAATTTTCAGGCATTTTTGCGATTTTTTTAATTTTCAGGCATTTTTTGCGATTTTTGCAATTTTTACAATTTTCAGGAATTTTTGCAATTTTCAGGAGTTTCTGCGATTTTTGCAATTTTCAGGAATTTTTTCAATTTTCAGGCATTTTTGAGATTTTCGCAATTTTCAAGCATTATTGCGCTTTTTGCAATTTTCATGGATTTTTGCAATTTGCAGAAATTTTTGCAATTTTTGCTATTTCTGCAATTTTCAGGCATTTTTGCGATTTTTTTAATTTTCAGGCATTTTTTGCAATTTTTGCAATTTTCAGGAATTTTTGCAATTTTCAGAAATTTTTGCAATTTTTGCTATTTCTGCAATTTTCAGGCATTTTTGCGTTTTTTTTAATTTTCAGGCATTTTTGCGATTTTTGCAATTTATACAATTTTCAGGAATTTTTGCGAATTTTGCAATTTTTACAATTTTCAGGAATTTTTGCAATTTTCAGAAGTTTTCGTAATTTTTGCTATTTCTGCAATTTTCAGGCATTTTTGCGTTTTTTTCAATTTTCAGGCATTTTTGCGATTTTCGCAATTTTCAAGCATTTTTGCGATTTTTACAATTTTCATGAATTTTTGCGATTTCTGCAATTTTCAGGAATTTTCAGGAGTTTTCGCAATTTTTGCTATTTCTGCAATTTTCAGTCATTTTTGCGTTTTTTTCAATTTTCAGGCATTTTTGCGATTTTCGCAATTTTCAAGCATTTTTGCGATTTTTGCAATTCTCATGAATTTTTGCGATTTTTGCAATTTTCAGGAATTTTTGCAATTTTTGCAATTTTCAGGAATTTCTGCGATTTTTGCATTTTCAGGGATTTTTTCAATTTTCAGGCATTTTTGAGATTTTCGCAATATTTTTGCAATTTTCATGAATTTTTGCGATTTTTGCAATTTTCAGGAATTTTTGCAATTTTCAGAAATTTTTGCAATTTTTGCTATTTCTGCAATTTTCAGGCAATTTTGCGATTTTTTTAATTTTCAGGCATTTTTTGCGATTTTTGCAATTTTTACAATTCTCAGGAATTTTTGCAATTTTCAGGAGTTTTCGCAATTTTTGCTATTTCTTCAATTTTCAGGCATTTTTGCGATTTTTTCAATTTTCAGGCATTTTTGCGATTTTCGCAATTTTCAAGCATTTTTGCGATTTTTGCAATTTTCATGAATTTTTGCGATTTTTGCAATTTTCAGGAATTTTTGCGATTTTTGCAATTTTTACAATCTTCAGGAATTTTTGCGATTTTTGCAATTTTCAGGAATTTTTGCAATTTTCAGTAATTTTTGCGATTTTTGCAATTTTCAGGAATTTTTGCGATTTTTTCAATTTTCAAGAATTTTTGCGATTTTCGCGATTTTCAGGAATTTTTAGGAATATTTGCGATTTTTGCAATTTTCAGGAATTTATGCGATTTTCGCAATTTTCATGAATTTTTGCGATTTTTGCAATTTTCATGAATTTTTGCGATTTTTGCAATTTTCAGGAATTTTTGCAATTTTTGCAATTTTCAGGAATTTCTGCGATTTTTGCAATTTTCAGGAATTTTTTCAATTTTCAGGCATTTTTGAGATTTTCGCAATTTTCAAGCATTATTGCGATTTTTGCAATTTTCATGAATTTTTGCGATTTTTGCAATTTTCAGGAATTTTTGCAATTTTCAGAAATTTTTGCAATTTTTGCTATTTCTGCAATTTTCAGGCATTTTTGCGATTTTTTTAATTTTCAGGAATTTTTGCGATTTTTGCTATTTTTACAATTTTCAGGAATTTTTGCAATTTTCAGGAATTTTCGCAATTTTTGCTATTTCTGCAATTTTCAGGCATTTTTGCGTTTTTTTCAATTTTCAGGCATTTTTGCGATTTTTGCAATTTTCATGAATTTTTGCGATTTTTGCAATTTTCAGGAATTTTCAGGAATTTTTGCGATTTTTGCAATTTTTACAATCTTCAGGAATTTTTGCGATTTTTGCAATTTTCAGGAATTTTTGCAATTTTCAGGAATTTTTGCGATTTTTGCAATTTTCAGGAATTTCTGCGATTTTTACAATTTTCAGGAATTTTTGCGATTTTCGCAATTTTCAGGAATTTTCAGGAATTTTTGCGATTTTTGCAATTTTCAGGAATTTTTGCAATTTTTGCAATTTTCAGGCATTTTTGCGTTTTATTCAATGTTCAGGAATTTTTGCAATATTCAGGAATTTTTGCAATTCTCAGGCATTTTTGCGATTTTTTCAATATTCAGGCATTTTTGAGATTTTCGCAATTTTCAAGCATTATTGCGATTTTTGCAATTTTCATGAATTTTTGCGATTTTTTTAATTTTCAGGAATTTTTGCAATTTTCAGAAATTTTTGCAATTTTTGCTATTTCTGCAATTTTCAGGCATTTTTGCGATTTTTTTAATTTTCAGGCATTTTTTGCGATTTTTGCAATTTATACAATTTTCAGGAATTTTTGCGATTTTTGCAATTTTTACAATTTTCAGGAATTTTTGCGATTTTTGCAATTTTCAGGAATTTTTGCAATTTTCAGGAGTTTTCGCAATTTTTGCTATTTCTGCAATTTTCAGGCATTTTTGCGTTTTTTTCAATTTTCAGGCATTTTTGCGATTTTCGCAATTTTCAAGCATTCATGCGATTTATGCATTTTCATGAATTTTTGCGATTTTTGCAATTCTCAGGAATTTTCAGGAATTTTTGCAATTTTCATGAATTTTTGCGATTTTTGCAATTTTCAGGAATTTTTGCAATTTTTGCAATTTTCAGGAATTTTTGCGATTTTTGCAATTTTCAGGAATTTTTGCAATTTTCAGGAATTTTTGCTATTTCCACAATTTTCAGGCATTTTTGCGATTTTTTCAATTTTCAGGCATTTTTTGCGATTTTCGCAATTTTCAAGCATTTTTGCGATTTTTGCAATTTTCAGGACTTTTTGCGATTTTTGCAATTTTCAAGCATTTTTGCGATTTTTGCAATGTTCATGAATTTTTGCGATTTTTGCAATTTTCAGGAATTTTTGCAATTTTCAGGAATTTTTGCAATTTTACAATCTTCAGGAATTTTTGCGATTTTTGCAATTTTCAGGAATTTTCGCAAGTTTTGCAGTTTTCAGGAATTTTTGCAATCATCAGAAATTTTTGCGATTTCTGCAATTTATACAATTTTCGGGAATTTTTGCGATTTTTGCATTTTTTACAATTTTCAGGAATTTTTGCGATTTTTGCAATTTTCAGGAATTTTCAGGAATTTTTGCGATTTTTGCAATTTTTACAATCTTCAGGAATTTTTGCGATTTTTGCAATTTTCAGGAATTTTTGCAATTTTTTCAATTTTCAGGAATTTCTGCGATTTTTGCAATTTTCAGGAATTTTTGCAATTTTCAGGAATTTTTGCTATTTCTGCAATTTTCAGACATTTCTGCGATTTTTTCAATTTTCAGGCATTTTTTTCGATTTTCGCAATTTTCAAGCATTTTTGCGATTTTTGCAATTTTCAGGAATTTTTGCGATTTTTGCAATTTTTACAATCTTCAGAAATTTTTGCGATTTTTGCAATTTTCAGGAATTTTCGCAATTTTTGCTATTTCTGCAATTTTCATTTTTTAAATTTCGGGCGTTTTTGCAATTTTCGGAATTTTCAGGAATTTTTGCAATTTTTACAATTTTCATGAATTTTTGCGATTTTTGCAATTTTCAGGAATTTTCAGGAATTTTTGCAATTTTCAGGAATTTTTGCGATTTTTGCAATTTTTACAATCTTCAGGAATTTTTGCGATTTTTGCAATTTTCAGGAATTTTCAGGAATTTTTGCGATTTTTGCAATTTTTACAATCTTCAGAAATTTTTGCGATTTTTGCAAATTTCAGGAATTTTTGCAATTTTCAGGAATTTTCGCAATTTTTGCTATTTCTCGAAAAATCAACAATTTGTCCACATACTTCAATTACACTCTCTATATCAACTAATTGGGATCACCCTGTTTAGCAAGGATATTTTGATACATGCTGGAGAAAATTTTTTCAGACATTTGCTTCCGTAATCTGTCAGAGGCGTCACTGGGATCACAACTTAAAGGGGGAAAAACTTGTTTTTATAGGAAACTTCTTAGATATATTATTCCTGCATGAACGTGAAAAAAATGGAAATATACTTATGAAAAAATACATTGATTGATCTATTGATTGATTGATTGATTTATTGGTTGATTGGTTGATTGATTGATTAAGTGATTACCCTCTTCCCTTGATTGTGTCTCTGCAATCTATAAAAAAACAGATCTATTAATACGAGAACTAACAAATTAAGTCTCGATGAATGCCAACTTTTCCACAATTTTTTCGATGGAATTTTTGGTCAAATTTGAACTGGATGAATAAAAGTTTCCTCTGCATGCGAAATCTCATCTATAGTCGCTAGTCGTATTGGTCATTCAATAAAGTACCTATATTATAAGGACCTATAAGGACTAGGTTCATAAGTATAGTCGCTTTCTGACATTTTGACCTGGAGAGTCGTCACCGGTTGTCAGTGTCAACTGTCAGTGTTTTGAGAATTATTGTGTTCCATTCAATAAGTCATATTGAAAGGTATATGATTAAAAGTCAGTTGCGATTTGCTAATTTTGCGATCATCCGGAATAATATTCTTGTACTCTTCTAACGCATTCCAGTTTCAATCAAGTGTCAAATATGGACGACTATTTCTACGAAGACAGTGAAGAATACGGGGACTACGGATTGGAGTATTCAGAAGAAAGCACATCTGAGCCAGACGTGGATCTGGAAAACCAATACTATCTGGCCAAAACGCTGAAAGAGGAGAACCTGGAAAGTTCCGTTATGGCTTTCCAAAGAGTTTTGGAACTGCAAGGGGAACATAAAGGCGAGTGGGGCTTCAAAGCGCTCAAACAGCTGGTGAAAATCCATTTCCAGCTCAAGAATTACGGGGAGACCATGAAGAAATACAAAGAACTCTTAGGTAAGATATTTTTTATTGCTGATGCTATCAAGAAAATATCATAGGGTTTGTTCGCGTTCAACAAATGAATATTTCGGAACCTTATATCATTCAGGAGCATGCGCAATTTCACAGAACTCTACACATTTACTAGTTCTGTGGAACTGCGCATGTTTACCTGATGGTTTCAGGCTGTTTATTTTTTGAAATCGAGAAAACCAATAGATTTGTTCGTGTTTCAAATTGTTCGAATGATCCTCGGACTTCGCAGATTTAGGTGCGCATCAATATCAATCCGAGATGAGTCTATAGAAAGCAGATAAACAAAAACGCGTTTTCCCTGGTAGTTCTTTTCGAAAATCTAGTCACAAATGTCATGACCCTCTCATGGATCAAGGTCATAATATTGAGGGGTTATGTTGAAATTAGATCAATCCATAAAACCCTGAAAATTTGGACCTACTAAAATATGCCTATCTACACCTATCCAACGATAAATTTATACAAACCAAGACATTTTCTGAACCTGATTTCCTTATATAAACTTAAAATATGTTGCTTTATTCATTTTGCCAGGAATAAATTGAAAATATCAAATTTAGCTTTCAATGAAGTCAATACAGTCCATAATTATGGGACTAGACAATTGAATTACTTGATAGCAAATACATTCAAGTCAAACATTGGCAAACAATCTGTTTTTCACAATGGAATAATTTTATACAATTCATTACCGAATGAGTTGAAAAATATACATGATGCGAGAAGGTTTACAATCAATCTTAAAAAATACTTGCTCAGGACAATTTGAATGAAAAATATGTGGCATGATTTGATTACTTAGGAATGAAATATAACTTTAATCATATAAGACACAATATTAATTCGTTTCCACTGAGTGGAATTCATTATAGTTGACCCTTTATTATTATTTTTTTATATGTATTTATGTATCCCTATCATAAACAGAAATGTTTCTTGGGGTAATAAAGACAATCAATCAATCAATAATTCCAGAATCATGTATCTGACTACAGATTTATGGTGTCCTCTACAAATAACCATATTATGTTCAAGAACGGTTTGTTCATCATAAGAACTTGGACATGTGTAGATGATAAGCTTAATATGTCCATTGTTTGATATTGTTGGGCGATTTCTCAAATAGTTCCTTCGTTTTGTTTGCAAGTATCTCCCAAAACGCAAGAGCACAAAATTTTGAAGCATAGACGCATGCGCATTCGAAAATCCAAAATTATTCATGGCAGTCATGAACAGAGGGCTGTTCCTGGCCGAAAATATATAGTACTAGATAACATTTCGAAAAAGTACTAGAATTCGTAATTCAGTACTGAATTTCAGCTTTCTTCAAATTTGCCGCCCCCAAGGTGCTTGCATAGCTTTTATTCACTAATTCAAGCCGCCAAAGAGACAAATATGAGTGGAATAATTTCACCCTATGAATATATCGAAATGAAAAATGACATTCAATTGATTTACAGTTGCAATTGTAAATTAGGCAAATGTTCGTGAGAAAAAAGATTTTTTTGGGATGGCAATTCAGACACGTCGTAGATTGCTCATATTTGTGATGCAAAATTACTTGCAATTGACCCAATTTAGTTTACTTTCATCCAATAAATGCGTAATCTTCAATTTACGAATGAATAAAATAATTTTTATACTGTCTCGATAATAGTAGGAGGTGCAATTTATTCAACTCTCGTCATAGAAAAATTTGTAATAATCGAAGTAGTTTAGAAATAATACAGTGGGATATTAGTACTAAGAACTCAGTTCCTATAGCTATCTCTCTTCAATACATCCGAGAAGTGCAAGATATATAGGTAATAGGTACATCGATCGATCAAGTACTTGTAGCGCCATATAAGTCGTGATGTCATCTATGAAGGTTTCAAACGTCGTTCTTATCAGAAACGTTTCTAATTTGGACGTTCCTATACTAGGAGGCAGATAACTTAACTTCGACTTTCTGTTCTTCCTTTACAGGATACATTAATACTGCAGTTACGAAAAACCACGGCGAAAAGTCGATAAATTCCATACTAGATTACACTTCAACGTCTAAAGATATCGAACTGCTACGGAACTTTTATGAAACCACACTATCGGCGCTAAAGAACGCCAAAAACGATAGATTGTGGTTCAAAACTAACACCAAACTGGGCAAAGTTTACCTGGAGAGAGGGGAGTTTTCCAAAGTTGCCAACATCATCAGACAACTGAAGCACACTTGCAATCCATTCGCCCAAGAACTCGATCCACATAAAGGTAATTGGATCGATTTTCATAGAGGTTGCTAGCTGCAACAAAATATGTTTTTGGTTGGCTGACCATTTTTTTCCTAATGTCCCATCACAGGCACTCAACTCTTGGAGATCTATGCTCTGGAAATTCAAATGCACACCGAACAAAAGAACAATAAACAGCTGAAGGAGCTGTATGAACGCAGCTTGAAGGTTCGTTCGGCAATACCGCACCCGTTGATTATGAGCATCATCAGAGAGTGCGGTGGAAAGATGCACTTGAGATCCGGAGACTATGAAAAGGTGAGTTCAATTCGGATGCGCCCGACGAATAATACCTCTCAAATTGGTGAGTACGGTCAATCTACTCTTGCACATGAACATAGGTACTCATAGCAAAACACGTGGTGGGGTTTTATCGGTTTTGTTGTAACCGGAGCTGAATTGGACCTTGCCTCCGCTAGTTATGACGATTTCAAATTTCAGAAAATAGTTGAACAGTGTTGGTGTTAGTGTGACTACCAATAGCTTGTTTCAATCAAATGTATACTTTTCATTCCAGTCGGGCAGTCGTTTAAGTTTCACAATGTTCAGGAAAGGAATTTGATATATAGGTTTAGGTACCCATTCATAAGCATACGCCGTTATTATGACTCATTTTGTTGTTATATTGATAAATATCATGAAACTTCATGATCGACTAATATGTCAGCAGCCCAGCGTACGATATTAACGGTATCCTGAATGTTTGAATAGTTATATTCCTTTCTGACCTGTATATGATGAGCATTATATCCATCTTATATCGTCATAGTTACGCTATCTATGAAATTCAAAGTCCCTCTACCTCAACACAAACACAGTCTGATAACATCAGGTAGGCACTTCGAAGGCGCAAATTCATTAATGCATGTGAGATACTCTTCAGATTTTTAGCTATTCAGTGACTTGACATTCTGGAAATGGCAGCCATTTGGATGTCTATGGTCACTTTAATTATAAAGTCACTCTAACGTGGGTGGACTGATGCACCCTATTTCCAGGCCTACACCGATTTCTTCGAAGCATTCAAAAACTACGATGAGGCTGGCAGTCCCCGACGAGTGAACTGTCTCAAATATCTGATATTGACGAGCATGTTGCTGAAGTCTGCCATCAATCCGTTCGACTCTCAAGAAGCCAAACCCTACAAAAACGAACCGGAAATCAAGGCGATGATCGATTTGATACTGGCTTTCCAGAACAACAACATGAAGGATTTCGAAAATATCTTTCAGGTAGGTTGATGAGACACGTGTCCACTTTTGTTCCCACTTATTTCAGCAAACTACTTCCATAATAAAGTATCCCCTAGTTGGCTGAAAATAAAACTCGTTAGGTTAGATCAGCTGGTTCGATATCTCGAACGTTGATGGTCTAGGTTGGCAGTTGAAAATGTATCCTTGATTATCCACACACCAACAGGATGAACCATCCTTATGAGAGCAATGAAGCCAGAAATTATATTCAGAACAGGGTTGGTAGGATTGATGATTCATTTGTAGAGGATGGTTGCCTCGATCAGAAAACGAATTGAGGGAAAATTGTAATTCGTGACGTAATAATCGTATCCAAAATTTCATGTTGGGATCATAGAAATGTATATATAAAATTCTAGATCACAGCATTAAGCAGGCGATCAAATATTTGATTTGTTTGTATCCATAGCAACGTCTACCTTAGCTGATGAGTTAGAAGAGTTGATTTCTCGTTAATTTAACAGGGAGCTTTATGCAACCAGCCCTAAGATTTTCATGACTCTGATGAGATTACGTCGCGAATTACCACTTCCCCTAACAGCGTTTTGCTGATCGAGGCAACCTTCCTTCACAAATAAATCATCAATTCTACCAACTATGATTCAGTAGGTATGTGGCGTTATCTATGAGCGATATAGTGAAATACTCGTCGAGTAGACAACTCGTAGACAACAATGTTCATTGGTTGCCAAGGGTAGAGATCGGTAATTCAGAATAAATTCGAAGTTGATTTTTAGATGTTTTTAAGATCTATGTTATTCGTACTTTATTGAGAAGGATATTCCTAGATAGCTCAGCATCTTACAGATAATAATAATAATTACATTTATTAATTCCAAGAAATATACATGGTAAAATGAATGAACACATCAAATATTCAATGAAATGGAAGATAACCAGTTCAATCAGAATTAATCGTTATATGAGTAATAATAGCTGTCATTTTATGTTGTCGTAGGAGAACAAGGAATCTTTGATGGCCGATCCGTTTGTCCATGAGCACATCGCCGAATTGCTCAAGCACGTCAGGACCAAGGTCCTTCTCATCCTCGTCAAGCCCTACAAGCACATCAAGCTAGACTTCATCAGTGAGGAATTAGGTAGGTATGGAGTATGGAGCGCCTTCCATGCTCCTCCGAAAGTAGAAAGCACCTATTGTAAAAAAAATATATTTTGCGATATACATTGATAGCAAGGTACTGGTACTGGCGAAGGTATTGTTAAAATTCCAAAATTTCCAGTAGTAGGTGGCAGGTGCGATGAATCAGTGTGCTCTTCGTTTTTTTAATTGTTTTTTACAATAACATTGACCAGAGATTATGTGTGTATAATCTCTCGGTTTCAGAAGTATATCTTTTTTCTACTTATCTAAAATCATAGAACTTTTTTGACTTCTATATGCTTCTGATGTCAAAGTCAAGGTCATCCATGTACCTCCAACATTAGAATTTAAGATCGCAGCGCCAGTGACCAGTTATGGAACTATATATGAAAGTACATTATTATTTTGAAATGTTTCATTGGCTTGTGTGTATTGTTTCGTTTTTTCGGTAGTGATTTAAGCAAAGGAAACTTTGCGTTTGACTGTCTAGTTGTTCACTTTTGTGATTCGAGGGAGCTTATTTCAGCGGATATTCGTTCAATAAAGTGTGTTTCACTACTTCAAATACATGAGATTCACAAAATGAAAACGCCCCAATATGAGGTTATGTTAGTTCGCATTTCGATCATATTCAAATTCCTTCTGTAACTTTTTACATTTGGGAATAAAATGCAACTGAATTCAATGTCAAAGTTTGAGAAAATCATTCAATTATACATTGATTAAAATAATCATTTTCTGTGAGATGCGCAGTGAGAAAAGTTTCATGAAAAACATGTGAAACCGAGCAATAATTCAAGAAACTCTATACTGAAGAATTGAAACTCGAAAACTATCAGAATAACCACTAAACGTTTGCTTAAATGGGTAGAAACTTGAATGGAAACAAACGTACTAGAATATCCGCAATTGTCCGCAAGAAGACGTATCGCTTATTTCAAATTGCCTTGGAGTATAACAACTGAATCCGTTATTTGCGTATCGCTTGTGTGTCGTTAAAGACTTTTCGTAATCCCGCTGAAAGATTTCATTTTGATCCCGAGGGAAGAACAAACAACGTATCTAGTAATGCTACAGAAGCCTCGGGATATAATCTTGGTCCCTGGGTAATACTGAAATTCTTTACTACCTTGGTATATAAATGACTTTTTTGCAATACATTGCAACAATCCATATTTTCAAAATGGTCATTAATGCGATATGTGTCGTAAAAAAGCAGTTTTTTAGGTATCAGCGTGACCGATGCTGAGCTGTTGCTCGTTTCCTGCATCTTGGACGGACACGTCAACGGTAGGATCGATCAGATGAAGGGCGTCCTGGTGATGAGGCCTTCAGCTCCGGACGAAAAGTATGTGGCCATGGAGAAGCTTTCCGATCAGATCAACAAGTTGACGCTATCGATAGGAGCATAATAGCGCACGAAGATTACCTCTTGATCCTTTTGGTGGCGAGAATCCGAAGCTGCAGCCTAAAAGCGATTGCACCAGCGACTGTCGTGTTTTGTTATTGAGTGTTTACAAATCAATTTACGTCAACGTATCATTTTTCATACCTAGACAGCTTCAGAATTTTGCCACTAGAGGCGTGCGTGTTACTACTTTGCGACGCCTACCGGATTCAATTTGTTCTTCACTGGATGGAATTCAAGAATTCGTCATTATGTTTCCCAAAGAAATCAAGTGATTGTGAATTTATTTTGGTTCGAGAATTGTTTTTCTGTATTAATTATAAACTTTCTTGCTCACTTTGCTTGCTCTTTACTCCAATCCAATATGTTTATTATTCGTTCAGAATAGTTATCGAACAAATTATTCAGATAACACCGAACTATACTTGAGAAATTACGGCCGACTATTGAAATATGACACTTGAAACGAGTGTTCTAGCAAGTACTTCATAAATGACTGTAAAAAAGCAGTTAATAATTCATAGTTTTTGATTCATGGTCAGCAGATACTTGATGGAAAGTGCTCGAAAAACTCATCCTCCCTAATACGGACTTGCAAGCTCATATACATTGTTGTCTGAGCGCTCCCATGAATAAACGACACCTCGTACCTAGGTATCTAGTATTGACCTCCTCAAAAAACTAGAGCTTATCGGAGAGATCAATTTCTGTGTAAGAAAAACCACTGCTGCATTTTCCGAATAGTGGATAAATCGGTATTTTAGGTACGCGGAACATTTGTAATAGTGGGTTTATTCAACTCTGAATTCGAAAAATCTGCGGCAATTCAAAAATTGACAGATGTCATAATTGTGCAATGTCGCCATCTATAGAAGATCGATGGAACCATTACGTTCGCTGTTCTCGAGAGGTCGAGTAAAATTTCTGAAACAAAAGCGCATCAGTAATTACACCATATCTTACTTTCATCATTCTATCGATTATTCCAAAGTCCCCGATATGTTTTAGCCGTTCTTTGGATATTTATTATTTCATATTCCTTCGTCTCTCGCTTCATTTTTTGTGCATTTTACAACAGCGCAATGTGATGACATCCATGAATTGAAAATATTGTGGAAAACTATTTCAATCCGTTGATTCCTTTGTGAACAAATAATAAAAGTGAGGTTATGTTTCATTGTGTTTCCTGAAGGGTCGGTCATATGCACGCGACCCATGGGCATTTCAAACTGTCCCCTAAATCCGTCCCTGTCCCAAATAAGTGACCGGATAGCCCAAGCAGCTATGGCCAACACAGAAGTGACAAGGGAACGAATGAACAAGAAGATATAGGTTATGTTCGAAACGCTAACCTAACATAACTTGAAAACTTCGCATTTTAGTTTTTCAGTTTTGCATATCCATTTAGCATGTTTCTGGTTGAAAATTCAGTTTCCAAGCAAATATTATGCAGTTGCTTCAGAAGATATAGTCGCACTGTGAAGTTCAAAACTGACCCCGGAATAAAAAACCGAGGTAAAATAGTTGATACCCAAGATCTAGATGGAATGGATCTGGATGATCTAGAAACAGATTTCATGAACGTCCAACAAAGTCACAAGGATCACATGAGAGAAATGGAAGTCAAACAGGAAAAATTGAAGTACATGATAGTGAAACAAAAGTACTTCAAGGAAAAATATCCGAATTTTCTGACTTGGCAGGATAAAGAGCAAATCAGGTATTTGCATCACAAAGATCCCCAAGATTGGACAGTAGACAAACTTGCTGAGAGTTTTCCAGCATTACCAAACATAATTATGGTAAGTTGAATGGTCTTATAACTTATTATTCAGTTCTACAATCTGCTGTTTTTTCTCCAGAAAATTTTAAGATCAAATTTCTCAAAATCTGATTCAAAAATAGTCAATCATGATGCAAATGTTCAAAAAAACTGGAAGAGTTTTGAGAAAGGTGAAATGACTGATTTACCTGAGGATCTAGTTGAGCATTTGAACAAATTCACCAAAAGAATATCAAGGAATAATCTAGTACAGTACTCATCACCAGTGAATAACAAAAAAGAAATTATAGTTCAGCCTGATGCACCAAGGGAATTCTCAGAAATAATAAGTAGTTATGAGAGATTGAAAAACAAAAATAGAGTACAAGAAGAAGTTAAAGAAGTACAGACAGTTTCGAATTATCCAAGTTTGCCAGCAAATCCAGAAAATTCAGACACTTACCTAATGATTGACAAAAAAAATATGAAGCAAAGAAAGCACATGACTTTAACACAGCTGCAGAATAAAATTCAGACCAAAGCCTTGGATGGTAACATACTTTCAGAGGATGAAAAAATGATCCTCAAGGAAATCAACCCACCCACAGAAACTGAAAATATTAGTTTAGCACAAGTGAATGAAGAGGATACAACCATTATTATGAATAAATTCAATTCTACTGGAGGCAGTCTTGTTAAAAAATCTGAAAGAGACTACAATCATCTCATTTATCCAGAAAAAATAAGGATACCCAAGGATAAGGTGAGAAAAGGTTACACTTATAGGTTGAATGACTGTTTTTATGACTGTGATGGGGAATTTTTGTATAGAGTTCCAGGAATGGGCTGAATAAAAATATCAACAAGAATTTTTCATTTATTTATAAACAATATCAATTTGAAAATGACTAGCAAAGCAGTTGAATGTACAAAATTATGAAAATTAAGTACTAGAATACTTTTTGTGTAGGTCCAATTCATTTGTTTGTTATTGAAAATGACCAAAATCAAATTTTCACATCAATAGTAACATTGAAAACTCAATTTTTTTATGCAAGTAATGTTGAAGCACTCCATTGGATAATAATAAGGAAACAGTTCTTTAGCCTGAGATTTTTGTTCCATTGAAATTGTAAAAATGAAAATTTTCACAAAATTGGTACATTGACCCTAGTGAAAACAAATACTTCATTAGCTCATTTGTCAGTAGAAAATGAAATGCAAAATAATTGGAATATTTTGAGTGATGTTTGCAGCATTCACACTGGATCTTTCACATTGTTGTGATCTACCAGACAAAAAATAATTTGCAACATTTATCATAAAACAGAATTTGCTAGAAGAGTTGAAATTTTGCAATATACCTACATTCAAAAAGATTGATTTGTACTGTCTTGTGAAAAACTGTTTTTTGTTCATCTGAAATAAAATATGATACCTATAAAAATCAACAATTTCAATACACTGAACTATAACCCTACAAATGGAATGCCGATGCATGATTTCAATAATATGCTCATTAGAACCTTGTGCAGACATGGCGGATTTAAGGTTGTGAGCATGCGCACTTATATTGAAACCAGGGCCGGTCTTGCCAATGAACGATTATTTCTTGCCCATTGAAGTATGTTGAATTATAAATTATAATGTAACATAGTGTGCGAATATACATTTTTCGGAGACTGTCACCAAATGTTGACATTTGAACACAAAATACTTCGGCGTTATTTTGCCGAGATTTCAATTATAATGTATAATACTATGTGAATTCACGTTTTTCGAAGACTGTCATCAAAAAATGTTGACATTTGAACACAAAAGTCTAGAGAAAAGAAGATTTCAATTTTTTGAAACCAGGACACAAACACGAATCTATTCGCGAGATTCACGAAGTGGACGATATCTAGGTTACATAATACGAACTTCAAACTGGGGAAAAACAAACTGTTGTCTATGGATAAAGTGCATAGACTACATTGCATTCAGCTTGCTGTAGCTGTAGTCAAACTGGTCAATGACATAAAGTGTTGGCACTGTTGGTAGTAATGATGGTTGAGTTGGTTAATGTTTTTAGATTATTACATTTTTATTAGTTTAGTGAACAGTGAACGGGTGAAGAATTGGAGATAGTTTGAACAATTCAAACTAATTATGACGAGCAAATCAATTGACATATAAGAACTGCTTCTCCTTCCACTACTGGTCGGCTTTTTCCATCTGAATAGAGCAAAATATCTGTCAAAAGAACATCTACAATAGGCATTATTAGCGTTTTCGATCGAATATCGACAATTAATGTCAAGAAATTTCAAAACTTATCACTCTTATCAGTACACAGTACATGAGCTAATGGCACTAATGGGATTGAGTGAGGATTGAGTTTGTTTTCCTCCAGTTTTGACGTGGCTTTGACATGGAACGATGAAAACTGAGCGCCACCTGGTAACATTGATTCCCGCGAATAAAAGACACGATCAGGAACAATGAAACAATGGAAATAAAAACCATATGAAAACAAACAATAATAAAGGCGTGGCAAATGATGGACATACGTCTGCGGTTGTGAGCAATTTCGATAATCACAGACATTCTTTTCATATCTTGGTTCAACTGCGTCGGCGCAGAACCTCAAGGTCAAGATCTCCATGGAAGGCGTAAAATATTCACGCGCAGGTTAGGTTCAGCATTTCATTTGTAGGGTTATAGTTCAGTGTTTCAACATCATAATAACAAAATTCTCTCACTTCCCTGACATGTTTCATATTTTCATCTATTCTTCACTACTCATAAAATCAAATCCAACTACTTTCTTGTTTTTGACATATTGTGAGTCAGACTTACTGAGCAATTCCAGGATATTCTGCCTCCAATCAAAGTTTATGATCTCACAAGAATCAAAACTGATGAAAATGTTAAAATTATCTTTCAATAACTCACTATTACAATAAAATGTGTTGTCTTTGGTGTTGATTTCTCTCAAACTGATTTCAAATAATTAACCAGTGGTTAATTGAACCAGCATAACTAGTGTTTTTCACTCAAATTATGCCATCTGGAATTTTGAATAACCATCCAGTGGTTGATTCAATGAGTTGAATAACTGGCATATCTTGGTCAACCCATGGTTAATTGGAAAATCTATTCTTTTGAAAGACCTTAATTCACTGATTCAGTTCAGTTCAAGTGAAATATTTCAACTAGTTCAGATTGAAAGAAAATCAGTCATCAAACATTTCATAACAAACCAGTTAAAATTCGTGAAAATCTGTAGTACTCAAGATTGACCGAAAGTGTCGATAAAATGTCAAATGTCAATGTCAATTTGTGTTCACTCCAAACGGATGCCTTGTATCCACGAACTCAAATCTGTGGCGTCCTCGCAGTCCAAAACGATCTCCTCGGGGGCCGCCGAAGATATGACTAGTTGTGCGGCAGTCCTACCGCTCAAATAAGCCCCATGTGCGGTGGAATAGAAATTGCTGTGGGTGTGTTCACCAGCAAACAAAATAACAGGCTGAAATAGGAAATGCCATTTTTCCTACGAGCGTGCGCAAAGTAGTTCTTTTCCGCACTCATTTGCGTGCGCAAAGTAATACTTTTCCGCACGCAGTGCGGATATGGTCTTATTCGCACGGCGTCCGGATAAGTGAAACTACCCAAAAATCTCACTGGTATGGAACATTTATATTTAATTTAGTTGCTGAACTATAAGAAGCCGTTATCCCTTTTACTTTTCAACCGTTCTTCCCGATATTTGTATTTCACCCCAAAACAAAAAAATAATTTCACGGTTTCAAAGGAGAATACCTTGTATAATGATATATGATTATATGTAATATTGTCAAGCAACATCAAGTGCACTTGTCAACTTTGACATTATGTCAGATTTTTACTCAGTTTCTGTCAGCAAAAATCTTGAAACACCGTCACTTCATCAAATCATAAAAAGATCTTGAAGCAGTTGATATGATGCTGGTAGGAAAAACGTTGTTCCTAACACGTGCGTAAAGTGTCTTTTCCGCACGCAAAAACTTATTCTGTAAGCGTAATTTTTTGTTATGCCGGATATAGGTTACATAAACATCTATTTCATCTCGTGTTTTTCTTGTTTTTCATATTCTTACCTGCGTTTCATGCTCATCCAGATAAATTGGTTGTGCTAGATATTCAATATCTATTTGTGAAGAGCCAACTGAGATGGCTGTGTAAGAACCCCTTGTATATATTTGGCTATGCCAACTTGTACTAAAAAAAAACACAATGATTCCTGAATAGGAAATAACTCGGGAAATAAAAACGGAGTTTTAAGCTTATTTTTTTCTGGTCATCACATTAGGGAAACTTACCATACACATCTTTTTGGTTTTGGTATAAAAGGATCATTCAAAAATTTCCGTAAAATCATTGTGCAAGCGTCTATGATGACGTCATTGGATAAAGTCTCCATATATTCCGCCTCTTTTCCCGATATCCAACCCAAAATCAACGTTTCTGAGATTTTGGCAAAGGAATAAATCTTCTTGTACCAATTCTCAGAAATATTCTTGGCATTATCTCTATCGGATTCCCACAAGAAAAGTACTTCATTTATGCTGGGATGCAAAAATGGTCTCTCATATTCTAAAATAATCTTATCTACAGTACCGAAAAGTAACCTAAAATGGTTATTACAAGTCAGTATTTACCAATTGTGCCTTTTACTTAGTAAAAAATTATCAACAAGTAATTTTATTGTTTGCAATGTTCAGATTGCAGATTTCAATCATTAAAATGAAAAGTGTGGTGGTTCCTAAAAAAATCATACAGATGACGTCACCAATGAGCCAATTGGTCATTCTGTAATTATCTCGGCAATTATATGTATATAGGTGTGGAACAAAATGTATAAAAGTGTGCAATTAGAAGAATTTGTAGTTGTGTAACAACATAGATCTAAATAATTTAGATCTATGGTAACAGTCTTATTTTCAAGTTATTAGAATCGGCGATTTAAATCAATGGCTTGATTGATGCTCAATTCAATATATTAATACAGTCTGACAAGGAAAATACAATTTTTTAGAACAAGCAAAATTCTTCAGAATGTTTGTTGGAAAATTAAAGTGTAGTAGGGTCTTACCAGACACACTGTATGACACTATGACATTACCTGTTGTTAAAGGTGTTTTGTTATTTATTATTCAACATTAAAAGAAAAATTCTCAATAAAAAATGTCAGTTTCTAACCACAGAAAGATTTCTTCAACAATTCATTAAATTCCTCAATGTAACTTTTTATATAATTTTATCTCCTTTCCCTATCTCTTCTTTTAATTGAATTTCATTGATTTCTGGATAATTACCACACAGGGACAGAATATGATGAGGAAATACATAATAAATGAAGAAAATGAATGGAAATGCAAGAGGAATGAAGGAATTAAATGAAAATTAATGGAAAATGCACAAAATAATTGGGAAATTATTGAGGAATGGAGGAAATGAATAGAAAACTAAAGGAGGTGAAAAAATGAGTGATTTTAATTCAAGAAATGAAAGGAAATAGGAAGAAATCAAGGAGATGAGTAAAACAATTGAGGAAATGAATGAGAAAGGAATAAATGGAAAAGAATGAGGAAATGAATAAGAAGTATACAGTACTCACCTATCTATAGCTTCCATTTTATATTCAGGTAATGGGGGCTGAAAAATGCTGCTAGCACTGTGTTTCAGCACACCCAATGGAAGAGTGCAAATCACTTGTTCCCCAAGGAACTTTTTGCCATTATCACAGATTATCTCTACATTTGACCTGGGCTGTGATTTTTCACAACTAGGTGCTCTACTGGAATGATTTGATGAGGATGGTGACTCAATAACAGTCCTATCAGAATCATCAGAATCACTATCTTCAGGATTAGAATTTGATCTACTTGCCTATCATCAACAATCAATTTTAAAACCACATGTTTAAACTAAAATGAAATACTTACTTTCTTGCTCAACCATTTCAGATGCTTCACTGGATGATTTGTCAACATATTTTCCTGTGGTATTGTTTTCCTAAGAGGCTCTAAAATAGAACTATAACCCTTTGGCAACACAATATTCCCTCCTTGTAGTTCAGTGTAGCTCCCTAATTCTATCAAATCAATCTCACTCATATCATCACAACCAGAGATGCAAGTCTCTCTTTTCATCAAACATTCAAACAACAATTCACGTAAGCGCCTCTCTCTTGGATCAGTGATTTTGTCTAAATATAAACTGATTTCCAGCTTCATATGATCACCTACACTGTCAATACCCTCAGGTGGAGAGTACTGAGATATGAAATACTCTTCACACCTTTTCAAGAAACACAAATAGGCTTCATAAATTTCCTGCAGGGTTGCAAATGGCACTTGCTTCCCTTGTTCAGTTGCTGCAACTAGTTTGTGAGGCTTGGGATACGCCATAATGTCCACTAATCCGTGTTGCATTGCCAATTCATAAACAGGATTACCTACAGAGATATTTCAGGATACATTGTGTTTCTAGTGAGTGCAAGAAACTGTTTACCTAGAACACCGTGTATCCAATTGGCACCGAGTTCGATTGCCTCATTGCCTATCGGGATTTGAATGATTCGGCCCCCAATTCGTTCTCGGGCTTCCAGGACTTTGAAATCGGTGAAACCGTTGTTGGTTAGATGATAGGCAGCAGATAGGCCAGCCATTCCAGCTCCGACAATGAGAACTTTGGTCTTTTGAACATTGTTATCGGTTTCTTGGGCCCCATTCTCCTCCATTTTACTCGTTTTCGCTGTTGAATAACATTTGTTGATATGGGGGCCCCCGTCTGTCAAGTTCCACAACACTGTCAATCAGTGTCGATAGTGTCACTGACAGTCGCTGTCACTTCTCTCCATCCTTGTCACTCTGTCAGTGAGTCAGTGTCAAAGTCAGTGTATCAATTAGACGAGTGCCTACCGACAGTTGCGCGGACTACATCGATCATTCTAGCTCCCAACATATATTAATAAAGGAAGGTAAATACAGGGTATTTCATAGTTGTGGTGACAAGAGTCCAGGAGAGATTCCGCTTAACAAAATGCTTCGGTTTCGGGATCCAGGGTGTCTAAGTTTGAAAAAACGATTTTCATCAATATCTTGAAAACGCAGAGATTCGAAGTATACATGTCCTTGTTCGTTACATGAAGGAAAAATTGATTGATATACTATGGTGTGCTACATCTTTTCTGCGCATAATGTCATTGCGAGTCTATACTCGCACCAATAATGATCACGGCGACTTGGGCGAATCGATAACTGCGAGTAATTGTATTACTCGCAGTTACGTATACGAAGATGCGTCGTAGCACACATTGTATTTCCGCCATGGATAGACAAAGAGTGCAAAAAACTTTACTCCTCAGATCTGAGTGATCACACTCAGACCAGTGGCACAGTTTAGTCAGGTTCAGTGGTCGACTCAGTGTTGTTCTTGTCATTACTTTTGTAATAGATCTATCACTATTTCACGAAGGTTTTTACGTTCTTACGATTTGTCATGGATCTATTACTATTTGCTGTTAGCTCAATAATATGATGTTTGATCTATTTCTGTGTGCAGCGAATGATTATGTTCTGCTCTATCAGTCTTCGTTACAGTCTATGTTCTATATTCATGTTATAAATTTTGTGTTACTTTTGCCCCATTTCTGTCATGAATGTCTAATCCGTGCGATAGTTCGACGAGAATTACATTTAGAATGTCAAATGTCAGACTTTTTCAATCTATTACCTTTTGATTCAAATCTGTTACCTTATTCCAAGGAAATCTGGTACGAAAAATTTAGACCTAGGAACAACTTGCACTGGGTCGATTTCGAGTTCAGTCGAAGAGTCGAAAGATGTCAATGTTGGCAACTTGCAACCATTTTACTGTTTCGTGATTTAATAGGTCAGTGTTCTGTGTCTAAGGCTAATGTAGGAGTGTTCTGTGCATTTGCATTTTTGTAGGTTGCAGAGTGTCAGTTTGTTGGTTAATTTTTTGAGTGAATGTTTTGGTGAATGTCAGATTGATTATTGTTTTTTGTTGAAACGAAATCGCGGTCATTTTTTAACATTAGCTTATTACTATTCAAAAAGAAACTACACATTTCTTCATCCTACAAAAAATATATAAGTGCAAGGAGTCTGGTTTAAAAAACAGGTAAGATTTTCTTTCAATCAAAGAATAAAATTATAAAATATATTAATATTATTTTTCAATGACATAAAAATAGAATACTCTGGATGGATACATTGCATTCAATATAAATATTCATTGTCTGAACAAAGAAGAATTCATAAGTTTGCAGAGAATATTCTGTTTCTTCTAGCTATTTCAAATTTTCATGAGATTTTCCATTATTTTTCAAATATTTATTGTCGTGTACGTTTTGGCGGAAATCGTGCTTTGAATTGGCGCCTTACATTTCGAAATCTTTCATTTAGTACTGCAATAAGCTCGGATTCTCGGATATAAGTAACATTCCATATTGTTAGTAAAATATAAAAATGAATCAATTTTTTGTCCAATGTTCATAATGTAACTTTATATTGGATGATGCCTCGGACGATGCGTTTATGACATCCTATCTAACAAGTTATAGGTACTTATTATTAATTATTCTCACATTGGATAATATAATTATTTGCCTATAAAAGGACCAATAATGTTAATAGGGAGATTATAGCTAGTAAGTAGAACAAATTAATAGGATATTGACGTCACAGTGTTTACTAATCTCTATTTATAATATGAAAAGTGAAAGGACTATATGATCAACATAAACCGACATAAACCCATTGCCATAACATAGAAATTCATTGGAGTTTATTTGATTCATATGTATGAAGATACCGAGAGGTATTTCATACTATACCATATTCCTCAATTTTTTTTTGTATGTCACGAGAGGGAGGACACGCTTCAAAATTATGTACATTTTTTGCCAGTTTGGGCAATAGTAACTAACTATTGTGGTTCAGAATTAAGATTTTTGACCACCCTGTATCTATTTCAATTAAATATCAATTGATAGTACATAAAAAGTTAAGCTAGGGACATGAAAATCATTTTGACCAGTTATGAATAGTTTTGACACAAAAAATTCCTAAAGTTGAAAAATCTCGATTTTTCACATCCTATAACTCTGTAATTATTACTGCTAGACCCCAAGTGTTATAGGTCAATGAAATCAGCTCTTCAGGGAGAATCTGAAAATGGAATAATATATAGGGTGTCCCATTTGAAAAATCAGAATTGTTGCTACTTTTCAATGTAAGCGGCAACGTCGCAGCACTGAGAATATTTCAGGTCGATAGAACACAACTAATCATCCCAGGCACCAACTTTTCAGAATAATCCTGAGTTGCGTTTTCTGTTTTGACTTTGAAATACGAAAAAGTTTGCTTTGAAATGTACCAAGTGAATATTGATGACATGACAGCTGACGAATGACGAAATTTATGTAAAAAATAGTTCTACATGGTTCTACGCAAAAAACAGCTCTAATCTAGGTATCTGTTGGTCTAAAAGCACTGGGACATCCGGTATATACTTCGACCTCGTTTTTCGATCTCTTAACGTTTATTTCACTATTTCAAAAAGTCTATTTAGTTCACATCATATATTGATTGCCGGAATTCAATCACGGAATATTGAGGTACAAAATGGTACCATTTATTGACTAAACATTAAAGAGAACAGCTAACAAACGACCTAGAAAGCTGAGTCACTGGAAAAAAATACCAAAAACCTATATGAAACAAGAATTCATGTGAGGTGTACCTAGGTATTATACCGATGTGATCGAGATTATGATTCATCTTCGTTCGTCATATACAGGGTGGCGAGCTTGATTGCTCGAGTTCTATGATAGTTAGAAACTTGATTCAAAATCGATTGTGAATGAGACAACAAGGTCCATAACTAGAAATTATTGCCGCATATACAGGGGGCACCGGAAAAAATCTAGAGGGTCAGGATAACTTTTTTTTAAATGGAATGCCCTATATATTAGCACATTTTTTGAGGCATCCCTGTGACCTCTATCCACTCCTATAACATTTTTGACTGTATTTCGATCATATCAAAGTTATTAATTTTGTTGTTGAAATAATGTCTTCTGCAGATCCATGCCGAAAAAATCACTGTAGTTGGAAATTTGAGTGAGAGTAAAATAATATCATTCGCTGGAAAGATACGTGATATCTCTATAGAATTTTTATGTCCTCAATTTATACAGGGTGATTTTTCAATCCAGAACTTTTGGAAGTGATTTTTCTCGAGTTTTTCAAAGGAATACCCTATATATTTTTAGGCCATTTGATGTAAAATCGAATCACAAACATCTTTTATCTCAACATCAATATTGATATTCGTAACCATTTTTGAACCATATCTATCATACTTGTCACTAAAACTTCGCGATTGTAATTTTCTGATATCACCTGAGGTCCTTAGATTAGTTTACTTCCGATCATGGCCACCTAGATGTAATTTCAAAAGTGACTCCGAAAAAATTGAGTAGGCATAAAAACTTCCGAAAATGTCACATTCTGATCTAGAATTGTCTCAGAAATCCAAAAATGTCACAATATACAGGGTGTTCAATTTAAAAATTTAGAACCGGAGCCATTTCCGGTGAAACCGGAAGGGACCTGGAAGTGAAAAATATGTGAAAACTCTCCTCATCACATACCATTTATCTATACCAAATCTCATTTTGATACACCTTATGGTCTAGAAGTTATGACTTGTCTAATAGATTCGTTGACTCCGGGTATCGTCTTATAGTGACTCATACCTATCGAGAATTATTCTGTTCTGAAAATAATTGCTCATCATATTAATTAACAGTCAAGCATGAATAACACTGTTGCAGTTTGCAAATTATTTATAAGCTAGTCTTTCATTCTCAATACGATATCCCAGCCTCTTTGGTCTTAAAATAACTTTTATCACTTCTCTGAATGATAAATTGCAATATTTATTAGTCTGCTATATTATACATCTCTCCTAGTCTCCTAGAATGGATCTTTACAGCAGACTGGCGATATGTGACCTCTAACATTTTATATACTGGGTGAATCATTCTTGTCACCTAATCAAGTAGTGAGTTCTTAATTGAGTTTCTAGAAGACATGTGAAAAAGGCAAATAGACCCTACCTAGCAACTACAGACCGATCCCACTGTTATCTATTATTTCAAAGATCATGGAGAAAGCTATCAACATCGAGCTCATGAAATACCTGGAACATTCAGGTATTTTCAACGATAGGCAATATGGCTTCCGTCATCAGAGATCAACTGGTGACCTGCTCGCTTACGTCTCACATATATGGCAGCAATCTATTGAAAAATATGGTGAAACCTTAGTCGTGGCACTTGATATCTCCAAGGCATTCGATCGAGTCTGGCACCACGGACTCCTCGCCAAGCTTCCATCTTATGGCTTGCCTCCCCAGCTATGTTCTATGCTAGCTAATTTTCTCTCAAACAGGTCTCTCCATGTAGTGGTCGACGGAGTTTCATCTGACTCTCTCATCATAAATGCTGGTGTTCCGCAAGGATTAATTCTAGCACCAACACTATTTCTACTCCATATCAACGATTTGTTGAGAGCAACTGCATGTCCAGTACATAGCTTCGCGGATGATAGTACCCTCCATACTGCCATCTCTTCCAGGGCTACAATACCAGCCAGGCAAATCAAAAACGAACGAGGGAGAAATGTTGACAACATAAATATGGACTTGGCAACAATTCTCGAATGAGGATCCAATAACTTGGTAGATTTCAATGCAAACAAAACACAAGCATGCCTTTTCTGTAGAAAAGCTGATCTCACTGTGCCCAACATAAGCTTTTCAGGAGTAACCATACCGTTGAAGTCATCTATTTCGATGCTTGGTATTACTATCAGCAATAACCTTTCTTGGGAAAATCACGTGAGATCAATTGCTAAAAGTACATCCCAAAAACTTGATTTTTTGTTTCGGGCCAGGAGCTATTTCACTTCCAGCCAGCTGCTTATGATCTATAAGGCACAGATCCGGCCTTTCCTGGAATACTGTACCCATATTTGGAGTGCAGCACCTGAACATACCCTGAAACTGTTGGATTCTCTCCAAAAAAGGGCAATTCGTCTCGTGGGTGATGCCTCGCTCACAAACTCAATTCTCTGGAACACCGTAGAAAATTTGGCGATCTGGCTCTATTTTATAGATATTTTCATGGACGATGCTCTTCTTAAATATCAACAATTGTTCCTCCTTTGGCAGTCCTCGCAAGATTAACCCGTCGAGTTGAGGCTTCGCACCTCTTCGTGGTCACTTTGGATACCAGCAGAACATCTCTTTCCAAATACTCGTTCATCCAACGAACGGCGAGGCTCTGGAACACATTGCCAAGGGAGGTGTTCTCCGAGGCATATAACCTCCAGAAATTTAAGAAGAACACCAATTCCTACCTTATTTCCCTTGGTTCTCACGATGTTCTCTGAACATTACAGGATATCCCTTTTCGTGAGAACCAGAACATAAAAAAAACCATGTGCTAAAGATAGACAGATCGACCGATTGATTAGGTACCTGAGGATGAAAACATTTTTCTGGAAAAGTAGGATACCTATCAGTTTTTATTTCATTCATTCCCCCTCTATCATGGATGAATGGTCCAATTTAAATATTTTCCGTTAGGAGTCGCACCTATTTCCGCTTCATCAAAGAATACGCAAAATGTTACACACGTGACCGCGTTTTTTGTCATCCGTTATTATAAATCGATCGGTGCATATTACTTTGTAGTCGAATGATTGTGAAAAAGGGAACGTTATCGAGGTACAGTCGACTCATTAATAAACGCGCTCTGCTTTTTTTTCTCAGACGAAAAATTAGAATTAAGATTAGTTCACGTCGTTTTCAGCAAAATGACTGATAATTATGACCAAGAGCAAGTCATCATGACGCCAAAATGCAAAACAAACAATTCAACCACTCTGATAATAGAACGAAGGAAAGTCAATAAAACAAATGACAACATGCATGTAGCAGGAGGGGAACATACAGGAATAATAATAAATAAAGAAGCACTGACAGGTAAGTAACAAGAATAACATTCGAAAATGGATATTTCACGTGGTGTACCGCAAGGGTCAGATTTGGGGGCAGTTTCATTTTCAATATACATAAATTATGACGGTCATTTTAAAGTTCCTATATTGCAACTTCCGAAATCTAATTTTCACCAGATTTTCATGCTTTTTTTGTAAGAAAATGGTACCGAAGTACCAGCACAGCTTTCCTTGGAATTCAGGGTGTTTCTGGTGAACAAAGAAACTAGTAAACATACGCAGGAAAGTAGGACGATTCGTTTTTGGTTCAGAGAATCAAAATCTACCGATGAAATTGACGCTGGAGGTCAGGCAGGCACTGCTCAAGATTTTTTCAGGGAACTGGTTAGCCCACAAGAATTTCCAAGAGGTGAGTAGTAAAAATACAGATTTCGAAAAAACGATGATAGTACAAAGAGCCTTAAAATAGCCTTGAATTATGGTGTACTCAATATCCTTGTATTGCTACTATTTTAGATTTGGTTCTGCTAACTTAATGGTTAAGCTAGCAAAACCAATGATTTAAAAAAAACAATGTGCGAAAAAATCGGCAATGGGTTAGGATGATAGCCTTCCATTAGCCTCAAATTATGGTATAATGTGTTTCGTGATTGAAAGTTTTCTGATTTGCTATTCTACTGTCATGTTCATGTTGGATTTGGAAACATTTTTGCAGAAAATGATGGACAAAAAAATCGATAGTAGGTTCAATGACGAGCCTTAAATTTTCTTTAAATTATGGTGTACTCAATATTCTTATATTCCTTCTATTTGAGATTTGGTTATGCTAGCTCAATGGTTAAGATAGCAAAACCCATTATTAAAAAAAACAGGGTGCGAAAAAATTGGCAGTAGGCTAGGATTATAGCCTTAAATGAGACTTAAATTATGGTATAATTAGTTTTGTGATTGAACTTTTATTTGCATAAATCGAAGAGCAATAAATTCGGCAAATTAGCCTTAAATTATGGCCGAAGAAAAAATTGAAGAATTTAAAGTGGTTCAGCTAGCTTAATGGAGGTTTCCACTTATTTATTTTACGTCTACATGCTCATGTGGATGAAAACATTCCAAAAAATTAGCTGATTACCATAGAAAGAATGTCGAAATTAAGCATCTGAAAAAACCTTTGTTGCTTTCTCCATAAACGTCTAACCTACCATCGCCCTTGATCACCCTGTATTTTGAGTAGTTTTTGAGCAGTTTATTTCTACGGTAATGTCATGCTAAAGAAAAAGTAGTCCTGGATTTATTTCTGATGTTTTTATTTTTCATTCCTTGCTCCAAAATCAAAATTGAGACCTGTATCCTAAAGTAGGTCAATATACAGTGTGTCCCACTTACCATGCTCACCATGCTACATCTTGGAGCAGCCATTTTTTTTTTATTTCAACAAAAATTCCATAACTCCGATAAACTTGAAATTTGGCAGGTGTTCAGAATTTTGGTGACAATACATTATGGAATTTTTGTTGAAATTAAAAAAAATGGCTGCTCCAAGATGGCGGACAAGATTTGGTCCGATTCCATTCAAAATTGGTAAGTGGGGGTTTTTGAGGTCGGAGATCATGATTATTTTGTTAAAATTCATACATTCAAGATTGCGGCTTCCGAATAATTTTTTGTTTTTGTATAAATGACGATAACTCCGTTGTTATCAACACAAAACTATTACTGCGACATATCATCTGTAAGAGAAAAAAAAGTTATTCGTGACTAAGTCATAGTGAGCTATGACCTACATTTGAAAAACTAAAGTTGGTGGTCAAATTCTAGAAGAGTTGGTATAAATTTCATATTTTATTCGAAATCACCTTGAAACACTGCCATGAGAATGTGAAATTCCTATTTGAATATTTTCATAAATAAATAAGTTACGGAGGAGACATGAAAATGATCAAAATCTGTTTTTTGCGTATAAAACAAAAACGAATAGATTTTATCAAAATATTTTTTCACATTATAGTTGGCCTTGACAAACTCCACATTTGGTGTCATTTAACCGACCTCGTATCTCTCACCGTTGAAAAGATACCCATGGTGAGCATGGTAAGTGGGACACACTGTACATGGCATGAAATGAACCTTTCCTATTCACTTACATGTATATTCACTTTACCATATTAAGAAGATGAATTATTTTCAATTGTTTGTTTGTCATCCCAATGTCGTAGAACGTCGACTAATGATAATAATAATAGCTAGGTATGTACTTATCTTATAGTACAGGTATCATGCACTAATACATACAGGGTGATTCAAAAGTAAGCGGCATCCTTTCAGAGGCGTATTCCTTGCTTGAAAATAAGGCAAAAAGTTCCTATTGATAAGGATCCGAAAATGCTTCCTAAGGGAGCTACGGCCCTTTGAATAGGACACCTCAAAGACGGTTTTTTCTCTATAACTTTAAAATCCTTCACAACAAATTTTTAAAAATTGGTGTACGGCATAAACATTCGATGGTAAATAGGACTCCGTATTCGAAATTTCAGAATTTCATTCAGGGGCGTCACATGCGGGAGAGGGTAAGTGTAAAAATATCCCTTCTTCTCCGGATATTCAGGTTACTGTGATTTCGTTTGGAAATTATTTCGAATACGGAGTCCTATTTACCATCGAATGTTTATGCCGTACACCAATTTTAAAAAATTTGTTGTGAAGGATTTTAAAGTTATAGAGAAAAAACCGTCTTTGAGGTGTCCTATTCAAAGGGCCGTAGCTCCCTTAGGAAGCATTTTCGGATCCTTATCAATAGGAACTTTTTGCCTTATTTTCATGCAAGGAATACGCCTCTGAAAGGATGCCGCTTACTTTTGAATCACCCTGTATAAGAGATGAAAAAATAGTACAGGAATAGGTAGGTGAATTTTTTTTACTCGAAAGTTGTTCCCGAAGCTAGAAGACGTGAATTTCTGCCCGAAAATCGATCTCAGTATCGGTGTCATTAAATTTTATTGAATTTTGGAATGCCACCTGTTGCTTATGAATAGTAGTTATACAGGGTTGTAAATGAATTAATAGGAAACATTTCAGGGGGTGATTGTTATAGAGATGAAAAAAAGGGCATTTAAACATTCATTGTCCTAATTTATTGTTTTGTTAACAGTCTAACATGGTGTAATTAGATTCGGAATAATAATGCCAGTGGCGTCGCAGAGAGTAACCTTATCAATTTTTCATATTTTTATCAGAATGGAAATTGGAATTTAAAAATACAACATTCTTGTCCCCTGTGTTACTTTTTTATCTCGCTGAGGTTTTGAGGAAACAATAAAAATTCGATTTGACTCGATTTGATCAAACTAGGAAACATGTTTGTGTAAAAATTTTGCCTGTATATTTTCCTCTTTTTTTTTTCATTGACTCGGCCGCTATTTTGGTTTGTTATGGCGCATCAAAGGTTGAATTTGAAGTACCAGGTGGTCAAAAAGCTAGTCGTAGCTTTCTTCAAATTTTGAATTTTCATTTTACCAGTATTTCACCTGATGAAGCTACTGTGTTAGCGAAACATGTGATGTGATTAATAATTTTGTGGAAATCTTATCGTTTGTGAAGTTTTTACATATACACTCAGTTCCAAAAAAAGTGACGCACTTGATATTTGACTTATCTTCTTAAAAAAAAAACAAAATAGTAGGCCGATTTTTATTTTTTTCTACACACACTGGCACAATTAGGGGAACGGGTAAAATTTACACTAAGTTTGACATCAATTTTCTCTCGAACCGATCACTCGATTCAAATTTGTTTTTCACGAATTGTAGCTTCATTCTTCACGAATACATCTGAGAAATAATCACCTCCAAACGATTCGTCTTTATATCATATACAGGGGTGTAAAGAAAGTACGGATTTTTCGGTATTCCTTGAGACATCCTGTGGAGTGAACCACTGATAATTGAAACGATTTTCCAACACCAAATTATAGCCCAATCTATCCCGAATATCTTCGTTTTTTATTCATCTTGATATCCCAATTATCCAAGAAAATATAGAGTTTCAAAGAAGAGGTGGATATTGGTATTAATTTTACCACCTCGAAACTCGAACTGGGGAGAACGTGTCGTTTTTCAACTTGTTTCTGTGAGGATTTTTACTTCAAGATGAGAATTGTTCACAGTTTTACTTATCGCTTTACTGTTTAAAGACACATATACGAATACTCTTATGAATATGCAGGGGTGATAAAAGTTGCTCCAATGTTCTTTTGGTGAAATGCTATTTTTGTTAATCAACGTTGGCTCTTTTGTTAATGCCATTAATTATTGTCAAAGTCAAGCGATTCACAATTCATAAATTTGATTAATGAAAATCCAACATGAGAGATTTGACTCCTACTGATGTGGCGAGGGCTGTAGCATTAATAAATTGAAAATGAACAGTGGGCCAATGTTCTTTTAACATATGAGAGCCGCATCTGCACCAATTCAATAGATGACAGGGAAAGACTATATCGCCGAGGTGATTTTACTGCTTCTGTCTCCTATGGCAGAGGTTTAGTCATGGTTAGGTTAGGTTAGTCAAGAAACGACACATTTTCAGATCCAATTTGAGTTTTGAGGTGTAAAATTGATACCAATATCCACCTTTCCTTTGAAACTCTGTATTTGCTTGAATAATTGAGATATCAAGATGAATAAAAAACGAATATATTCGGAATATATTGGGCTCCAATTTGGTGTTGAGAAATCGTTTCAATTATCAGTGGTTCAGTCCACAGGATGTCTAAGAAAATACCGAAAAATCCGTACTTTCTTTACACCCCTGTATATGATGGAAAGACTCATCGTTTGAAGGTAATTATTTCTCAGATGTATTCGTGAAGAATAAAGCTACATTTCCTGAAGAAAAAAATGTTAATCGAGCGATCGGTTCGAAAGAAAATTGATGCCAAACTTAGTGTAAATTTTGCCCGTTCCCCTAATTGTGCCAGTGTGTTTATTTGTTGGTAGGTAATGCATTTGTCTTAAAAAAAATAAAGAGGTGAACATTTTTTCAAAGCCTCCTTGATGGTGGTGGAATAACTCGAACCATGATTTATTCTCAATTTTTGACTCACCCTGTGTGTTAATTGAGTAATGGTATACAAAGTGCCTACACCCTATACGAAAGAGGCTTCTTTTGCGAGCATTTTGTTTTTTTATTCATTGATTTATCTCTGAAATTTTCCGAATTACAGCTTTTTTGCTGATACCTTACGCTTATCCCACAAATTAAATTATTTATTGACATTTTAGAGCAGTATGTCTTATCTTATGTAGAGTTAGTGGGCAATAATTTTATATTGATGCAGGATAATGCCCGACCACACACCGCAGCAATAGTGCGAAATTTCTTAGAAGCTACTGGTATTACCACATTAGAATGGCCTGCGAGAAGCCCCGATATGAATCCTATAGAACATTTGTGGGATGAATTAGGGAGAAGGGTACGTTCTCGCGAGAGGTCTCCGGAAAGTCTCGCAGAAATGGCAGATGCATTAGTGGAAGAATGGGATCGTATACCAATGTAAACGATAAGCAACTTAATTTCCAGTATGCCTCGTAGATTAGAAGTTCTAAGAGTTGCTAGAGGAGGCAATACACGGTATTAAGCAGTCATCCCAATTTATAATTTTGTGTCTAGTAAAAATGTTTTTTAAAATTATTGGTGTCAGTTTATTTCATTAGAAAATTGTTTCTCGATAAATTCAGAAAGTTGGTAATCTGCAAGGATTCAGCGAAAAAGCTGTAATTCGGAAAATTTCAGAGATAAATCAATGACTAAGAAAACAAAATGCTCGCAAAAGAAGCCTCTTTCGTATAGGGTGTAAGCACTTTCTATGCCATTACCCAATTAACACACAGGGTGAGTCAAAAATTGAGAATAAATCATGGTTCGAGATATTCCACCACAGGGTTGGCATGAATTAATTCATATGAATTAAATCAGTGATTTAATTCGTGAATTAATTCCATTGACTTTTTTCGAAAAAGTCATGAATTCATTCAAATTTTCAAAAATGAGACAAATTGCACTATTACCTTTGATTTTAACTAGTTCAAACTGAATAATTTCGATTGTATTTTGGCAAGACTTTGTTATTTCAAGCATGACCGAGATTTCCACTAACAGATATATTCAGTATCGAGTATCATCCATAAGGTCCATAACATATGAGAAAAGGTTTATTATTACAGCATCGATTTTTTTTCTTTCGACGATTCATTATGCATATTCGATAACTTGAAAATCGATTTAGACATGTCACGTGATCACTGGTATGGTGATAAATAAAAATAATGCTATAAAGCGACGAAAAGTGGTGTTAGATAACAAAATATCCATAAATATTTCTTATTAAGTTGCTATTCCACATTCAGTTTCGAGCAATTTTTGGAGGAGAATTGGAAATAGCTATATTTGTTCGAATATTCTTCAATTTTGTTACAATTCTCTTTTTTTTCTTCTGACAGTAGTGATGTTGAATAGAATTCAATTTTATGCTCACATATGAAGTTTCCAGCCATTATTTGAGAAAACTGAAAATAGCTATTTTTATTTTTTTTAAATAACTTCATATTCCCATCTAACCCCACTTTTTGCAATCGTAACTTTTTAATTTACCGTCATACCAGTGATCAAGTGACGTGTCAAAATCGACTTTTAAGTAGTCAGACATGCATAATAGATCGCCGAGAAAAAATGTTTCGATATTCAACTAATAAACTTTTTCTCCATGTGTTACGAACTTCATGGATGATACTGGATCTATATGCATCTATTATTTTGTATTCTATCATCACTTTTAAAATTGTTCTGAAAAAATGACATGTTTTATTATGATGTTATTCTACAAGATTTCTGAAGGGAATAAAAACATAGTTTTTTTGTTTCTTTTTTTCTATTTCGCTTTGGGCAAATGAAATTTGTTTGTTTTTTTTTCAAATGAATTAATTCAAAAAAATCTGACTTAATTCCAAAAGTCGGACTTTGATGACTTTTTTTATAAAAGTCATGACTTATTCCAACCCTGTTCCACCACCATCAAGGAGGCTTTGAAAAAATGTTCACCTCTTTATTTTTTTTAAAGACAAATGCATTACCTACCAACAAGTAAAAAAAAAGTCGGTCTACTATTTTATTTTATTTTTTTAAGAAGATAGGTCAAATATCAAGTGCGTCACTTTTTTTGGAACTGAGTGTATGTTTATTTCTACGGTGGGGTCTGTACGCAATAAAATTTCATGTTCACCGAGATTTTCACACTATTGAAATACATGTTTTCATCAGGCTGTGCTGAATATTTATTATAAAACCTATACTAATGGGTTAAATGGGTCGGAACATGTTTACATGATATCATATTTGCAATCTACATTTCTTTCAAATATTTGGATGCAAATATTGATACAGGAAGAGCATTGATCGATTATCTGAGTGAAGGGTATGGATCTCTGGATCTCCATAAATTTTTATTTTATCTTGTGCATACTCTTTTATCTGTTGATTACAATATGATTATTGCATTCTTGACTATAGAAACATCAGAAGGCAGAAGGTGAAACGAACGAAAAATGTGAATGCTCATTATAAAATGTATGTTGATTGGCCTCGTTTCTCAATAAAATATATGAAAATTCTACAAATCCGCCTTTTTTTTCAAAGAATCTTTATTTCTGCTTGAAAAACGATTTTTTAAAATCTATTCCGAGATATATTCTCTTGAGGGCTCATGAAAGAAGCTATAACAGATTTTTCAATGAAGGAAAAACTGTACAATTCAAAATGCTGAGAAAATTCCATAAAAACATGAAGAAGAAAAACCATACAAATATATCAACTGTAGGGAATGAATATTTTCCTACGAGTACTTTAATTTTTCAGATTATGTGGGCTTTATAAAAAAAATTATGAAACTTATGCAGCACAACTTCAATTCGATAATAAAATTAGAAGTAGAACTTAGACAATTAGAAGAACCTGTTACATTGCCACCGAGACCACGTGAGTATAATAGTGATTATTGATCTTAATTTGAACATTCATCATTCATATTCATCAATAATATTTTAGAAAACTGTATCCCCTGAAAACCAACGTTTCGTCAATTGATTTTGATATCTTCAGAGGGCACACCTTTTATCTCACTGTGCCTTGAAGATGTCAAAATAAATTGATGAAACGTCGGCTTTCAAATATTTTTTTTTCTGTGACGGGAAAAAAAGTGGCATTTCATCTCTGTTGGCAGGTTATAAAATGTCACTTTTCATAAATTACTTTTTTCCCACGGGAAAAAATTGAGTACTTTTTTACCGGATATATATCACATATATATATATATATATACGCTGTTGATGGCTTTTGTTGTGCTATAGTTCCGAAAAATGAATCAATAATACCATCTCCGAGAAAGAACTGCAAGTCCTTTTATCTTCCATTCGACTTCGCGGTTACGTATATTACTAAACAACCACTAAATTCGCAATTTTTTGAAATCAAATCACAGAATTAGACTGATAGAAGTGACATCAGATATTTGATCACTTCAAAAGAATGATGAAGATGCCTACAACGCAGGTGTCCCTACTGTTAAAAACTTGAAATTTCACGCCGATAATTTTCAGATTTCAAAATAATGTGATATCTTCTCAATATGGATTTCATGCTTTCTTCTGTTACAGAAAAGAATAGTGAATTAAACACGGGAAAAATATTAGATTTTAGCTCACGGTTTTTTGTCTCCTTCCGCTACGCGTCGGAAGACAACACAACCTGGAGCTAAAATCTACTACTTTTTTTCCCTTGTATAATAAATAACTATTTTTCTCTGTGACGGGAAAAAAGTTTGACATTTCATCTCTGTTGACAGGTTATAGAATGTCACTTTCCATAAATTACGTTTTTCTGCAACCGACCCAAAAGTCGTCCATTTTGATACCAAAATTAGCTCTTAAATTGACGTTTCTATTACTGACAGAAAAGTAGGTATGTTGCTAGGCAACATATTTAGTTCCTAGGAGCTAATTAAAGTGGAACTTTAGGTCCTAGGAGCTAAAGTTGAACTTCAGCTCCTAGGAACTAAAAAGGATGTACTGGACGTCATCAAGAATGAACGACATTGTTACGGTTGGTTATTTGGGTTGAGATGCATACCTGATTTGTTTCCGATTTCAGCATATTTGGCATTTCATGCCGATGCTGGAGATATTAATACACCTTATTATAGCTAAGTATTGCCAGTATTGGAATTATAAACATCTCAGTTGAGTATTTTTGTTTTGATCAGAGAAGTCTTCAAGATTCAATCACTTGCTCGATCTGTATTTCATTCGTTATTCTCCGGATGGATAACTTGTTTTTGAATAATCACGGCAAGCAATTGTTTTTTTGTCTCAAACAACGATATTGTTTATCTTCATTTGATTATCAAGTCAAACACAGTGTAGTATGGAGAAGAATAAATAATCACTATTATCATCGTTGATATGCTCACTAACCTAACATTTTCCACGTCTTGTTCCTATAGCTGGCACTGGCGCGGTATTTACACAAATATGTCACTCTGTGATTGTATTTATATTGAAACTACAATTCGAACATCCTAGAAAACCTAACCTGCCGTTAATGCAGGTAGAATATTCTCACCACATGGATTATTTGTCAATATTTGTTGCATTGCATACATATGGCACGGCATTGGTGGTTACTTCACATGTTTATTTGAGTTAATTGTTTCGGTTGCAGAAAAAATAGCATGTTTCATTCGGATCAAAAGTGACTTTGTTCGACTCGCAAATTTTGCTTTCGCTCGGCTTCGCTAAACGCTCCGCCTCGCAAATGCAAAATTCGCTTGTCAAACAAAGTGTCACTTTTGATCCTAATAAAACAATCTACTATTTTCCACGGGAAGAATGGATTCCTTTTTTTATATACAGGATAGAGTGATTCAGGTTTCAAGGTACTGGTTAATAGATTTCATCATTTTGATAAAAAAAGTTCGTATATATATGAGTCCGATCTCGATCAGTAGAGCTCGAAAGGGGTCAAAGTTTAATTATTTATATTTATACGAACTTTGTTGATTAAAATGATGAGATCTTGAGATCTATCATCCATTTCAGTTTGTACCTTAAAACTTGAATCACCCTGTATAAATATATACATTGTTGATGGCTTTTCCTGTGCTAGTTCCGATAACTGAGCCAATCACTAAGTTCGCAATTTTTAATCACAGAATTAGACTGATAGATATTTGATTACTTCAAAAGAATGATAAAGATGCTTGCAACGCAGGTTGAAAACATAATCGTTAATTTTCTGATTTTAATATAATGTAATATCTTCTTAATATTGATTCGTCTTTTTTCCTGTCACAAAAAAAATATCTATAATCTAAGATCAAATCCGCAAAAGTAACACCACATTGATCTTTCATATGTATCATCATAAGTTTATTCTGCAAAAAGTTTTTGTCGTTCAGTGACAAAGCAAAATCTATTATTGAATATTGTTTGGAAAATTCAATTTTTAGTCTTCGCCATTCATCATTTATTGATGGATTTTTTTTATAGCTCGGCCTGGTTACTGTCTCATTCATTTAAGGCCTCTTTTCATTGATAAAGGTTTGTTTGGTTTGTCGTCTGATAAAAATCAATTAACAACAACTATTAACTTTTTTTTTTTTTCGTGAGGTTTGAATGTAACCTAACACTGTTTTTAATCATTGTTTGCAGTTATGTTTTTTTTTTTCACTGAAAATATGATTAATGTTTCGCATACATTTGAATATATTCAACGATATCTTCAACATTCTGATAACTCTTTGATAATAATTGTTGGAGAAAGTAGTTCAACTACGAAATATTGTCGCATAAAAAAAAACAAAAGAAAGTCCCTAACGGTAATAACCTATTACTGCACAAAGAAGTTCAAACAAAAATTGTTGAGAATTATTATTGAATTGGATATGGATTATAACCTCATGTGTTTTTTTTTTCATTCAGTACTGGCTGATGTTAATTTGATGGTTCTTAGTTTCAGCTGAAGAAAATTCTCTTGGACATATTGTAGTTTTGACGGTAGAGAAAGTACTCGAAATAATAGAATCGTCATACCCTAATCCCATAACCGTTAAGGATGTTGCCAAGTGAGTACCTGTTGCAACAAACGAATCTACTCTTTTAGATTCGTCGATAGACGTGACTTATGGAATTTATAATTTTCCGCTTTTAGGGAAAACGGATGGGATGAGGAAGAAGTTGCACAATGTCTTTCTGCACTGCAATCTCGACAGCTTGTCAAAGCAATGGATCATGGTGCCTTCACTCGTCAACAGTCTCATGACACCCACCAGGTCAATAATTCTACATTTTTTCATTATTTCTTGCTATTCTCCTTCATTAATTTATTAATGATTATTATGGAGCGAAAATTTGGGATGGGAGTGCCACTGGTGGCAGTTGTTAAGGGATCCAAGTGCCAACGCCAGTAATTTGTGCTTCAAGTCCTAAGAGGCCAACTTTTAGTAAAAAGGTTATAAGTGATAAATCATTTGCATTGTCAGTATACCAATGTGGAATCATAAGTACATTGAGAAGACACGGAAAGTGCCAGAATATCTAGGTTTTGTCACTTAAACCCTTTTAACGTGTCTCCAAAAATTGTATTTTTTACAATATTTCATTTACTTGAATCATTAATTAGATCCTTGCAACAGTCCTTTGATACTCAAGTTCTAAGGCCACCTTTTGGTAAAAAGTTTTAAGTGACAAATAATTTACATTGACATACGATGCGGAAATATAAGTAGACTGAGAGTAAAATACCACAATATCTAGATTTTATCACTTTATCACCCTTTTTACATGCCTCCAAAAATTTCTTTTTTACATATACCATTCAACATTTCATTCAATCAAGTTGTCATTGCTTCCTTGCAAGTTTTTATGTATTGTGCACTTACAACCTTTCACTATGGTGTTTATGGTTGAAGGAGTCCTATGAGCTTTATGATGCCTAGTTGGGTCTTTTAACGTCACATCACATGCATTATCCTGATAGGTATGTTGTTTATTCACTCAGATCCTTTTGATGTTTCCAGGTTCAACAGAAATTTTTGGCGCACACCTACTTATGTTGCAGTAGAATTCGTTCTCTTATACCTTCCAAAGGTGTTTTTTCACATCATTCTAGTCTTTTTGGTACTTAGACCCTTTTATCTATCTGTATTCAATAATGGTGTTTTGAGTATACTCATTTGTATTTCAGTTGAATAAGAACCTTTTGAGTTTTCTCATATCTACTTGCCACTCATATATAACCTTTCATCAGTTTTTTTGTTCATTAGAGGATATTTTGTCAGAATATCTCCAAATAGATGTGTAAACTCATTTTATTCATCATATTTTTTATAAATCATGTTGGCACTTGGGTCTTTTTGATTTTGAACTCTTCACAAATTGGCTCATTCCATAGGTCACCGTTGTCAAACAAATGCCGACGATGGCAAGATCCAAACAGCCTACTATTGCCATTATCACCGCGCAATATTGCGAGAAATTGGCAGTTGACGCAATGATAGAGAACAAGGAGACCTTTGTTCGGTATACGACAGTCGGTAAGTGTCAATTTTCTCCATTTCATTGTCATTTCAGCTTCATCTCAATGCGCAACTACCAAACGACCTGATTTATTGCGGAGTACCGCAAGGGTCTGAACTTGGTCCGCTTCTAAAAAATATTAACCCACGTCTATGATATTTCAGATTGGACAAGGAAAATACGGAGTATTGTATTGATTTGTTGTTTCCATTATTTCAAAATACAATTTTGAATTCGTTTTTTATCATAATTTGGTGAGAAACTATTTTTATTTCAATAGAGTTTATCCTGGAGTCTATAATCCACTTTCAAAATTGATAAACTTCAACTGCAAAGGCGTTAACTGAGCCATTTTTGTTGGAGTGCTACAAGGTTCTATACTTGGACCCACTCTTATTCTCAGCCATATACATACAGAGATCAGTGCACAGAAAACGGCCAAGATTGTAACTTTTGAATTATTCGAGATAGGGTTTTGAAAATTGGTAGGTAGCTAGTATATCAAAATTGCTCATTGATTGACGAAACAATTTTTGTTCTATATCACTTCCGGTTTACTGGAAACGACCCCAACTTCTGATTTTCAAATGGGACACCCTGTATTGTATTCCATAATCGGTTAGGGATTGTCATAACGAATTCATCGATACCGGGTTTGATAGGGTTATTTCAAACGATTACGCAGATATTCGCGTTCGAAGTTTCCATATATGCTCAATGAGTGTGACAGAGAAAGAAGTTTTGATGTTGCGAAGTCACTCACACCCATTGAGCATATAGAAACTTCGAACGCAAATATCTTTGTAATCGTTTGAAATAACCGTATCGAACCCGGTATCTTTGAATTCGTCATGATAATCCCTAACCGATTATGGAATACAATACAGGGTGTCCCATTTGAAAATCAAAAGTTGGGGTCGTTTCCGGTGAAACTGAAAGTGGTGGAAGAAAAATTGTTTCATCAAATAATGAGCAATTTGTTATACTAGTTGCCTACCAATTTTCAGAACTCTAAACTCTATCTACAATAATTCAAAAGTTACAATTCTGGTCGTTTTTTGTGCACTTCTCTGTATGTATCATTTCTTCCTCACCATTAGGATACGGTGAGCTAAAAAATAGCGTTGTTGAATTGAAAAAAAATCCTAAAAAGAAATTCGTTCTTGAAATGACATGATGAAAAAATTTACTGAAATTTGTGTTGTCTGATTGTGTTTTACAGATATAACACCAAATTTTAGTTTTTCTTACTGCAGCCATATTGGTTGTTGATATCATTGACAGGAGTGGAAAAAGCTGAAAATCTGCATAGTCTTTGTATTTATCTGTTAAATAACCAAGAACACTGGATAAAGTAACTTTCTATTCATTATAGTAGCTTCAGGTTTTATCTTTTTTGTATCTTTATGCAAAATAATCAAGAGGATTCAGATCAGGAAACATGGTGGCTACAAAATTGGTTAATTCATTTTCAGTTCAGAGAAAATAACTATTTCAGTTGTTTCACCTTATTCCAAAGACTTCTTTGATGGTGATCTTTCCAAAATTTTAAATTTTCCAAAAGGAATTTTCCCTTGCTGAAGAATGTTTATCAAAATAAAATTAATTGAGAAACTAATTTGTTAATCCATGGGTCTTTAATGGTTGATAAGATGTTGTGATTATTACATAAAAATGTTGGTGTCAAAATAGTATTTTGATAAAAACAGAGCTGATTAATATACAAAGCATCCAGAAAAATATATATTTTTTTCAACACTAATATTAAGTTATATTCAAATCAATCTGTATCACAATCACTACTGCTACTGGAAGCATCACTGGATTCTTCACTGTCTGTTGAACTGTCATCACTATCTCTAACTGCCAAATCTGCCAGTTTTTCTTCCAAAGAATAACACTGTTCCACCTCATCCAAGTTGAGCCCCAAATCTTGTTTGTCAATAGATAAACTGTAAACTGTATCAAGAAACCCCTCCCATGTTGATTTATCACACTTCATCATGTAGGTGATATAATCTTTGATGAACAAATTGTTCAAAATGTATCTGCAGCAGTCCCCACCCAAGAATATTTTGTGGATTTCTATCAAACACTTTATAATGTACTTTTCTCCAAGTCTCAACAAGTCTTTCAAGTCTTCTAGAACTGTCACAGCAAGGTTATAGTTTCTGTATAATGGGTAAATGACACTTCTACGAAAAGAGGAAATTAATGTGTCTTTGGGGGATTCAAAAGCATCCAACCAACAGAGAGTGGAAGCTAACTTCACTATTGTCCAACCAGATTCACAATTTCTTTCATAGGACACAGATCTGCCATCATAGCAGTAGGCAAATAAAATATCAATCAACCCATTAAGGGCATATTTAGTTTGCAAACTAGTTAGATTGTAATCATTGTTCTGCAAATCTTTGAGAAAATCTAGTTCAGTAGCACTAAATGTTATTTCAATTGCACTTAGATCAACCCAAGGTGTTTTCATGGTTGAAATTTCTGCAATTTGTCCATCTTCATCCATTAAATCACACAAATAATGCTCCATGTCGAATTTCCCTTGCTCATACTGAAGCCTGAGTTTTCTTCTCTGGGATAAACTGACCTCACAAGGATTTATTTCAAATACCTCATCAAACTCTGAACTGACATTCATGAATTTCTTGTGACTTTGCAAGGCAAATCCAAAGCCAATTTGAAGATTTTCATCAATCAAGTTCTCATCTTCTGTTGACAATTCAGAATTGAGTATGGTTATTCTGTTTTTGTTGTCTTCATAGCTAGCATCTACTTTTGTGATTAAAAACTTGGTGATGAATTCTAGATCTTCAAAATGTTCTCCAGCAACTGCCTTTTCATAACAAAACTTGAACTCTCCATTGTCAGCATCAAAGGAACTTTTGTAGGAATCTTCGACGAGGCTCCCAGGTAGGGATAGTCTCAGATAGTAGGGTTTGCAAGCAAATATAAATAGATTGTCTACTACCTCAACATCCAGTTCTTTCAGACTGCAATAAGGAGCTCTTATTTGGATTGTCAGGGTTTTTTCGTCCTGGTTCAAACTGAATCTTGGCGTTATCATATCGATAAATGGTTCTAACAGAAGGTCATCCTATTATTAAAGTGAAGTTATCCACACATTTCCATCCACACTTTATGACGTGAAGAACGTTGTATTTGGAATACACTGTGGGTCACATGCGGTGTTGCCAAAGTTTTACAAATATCATTAGATATTTCATTAAGACTGTTGAAGTATTGATTTATAAAAAATCTAACATGACACATACAAGACATAGTGTATCAGCTCTTTATATCAGAATTTGGCAACAAAATTGAGTGAATTCGAATGATATATAATAATCATTTACACATCAATTATTACAGCACAGCACATAAAACATCTTGAACTCTTTGACAGGTCATTAAACATATGATTACCAATATAGGTATAAACACTGAAAAATATCTGTGCCAACCTGTAGGGGAAATGGAAATCACAAAAATATTCCAACACATTTATTTTCTCAATTATTACAACGCCTGTCATCTTGAACTATTCCAAAGATCATTAAACATCTTTTCACCAACAAGCACACAGAGAAAAATATCTGTGCCAACCCATAGGGGAGATCAAAATATCAAAAATATTCAAAAAAATCATTTTCTCAATTATTACAGTGCCTATTTGGGAGATCATTAAACACCTAATTACCAATACGTACACACACAAGAATATCTGTGCCAACCGGTAGGGCAGATGAAAATCTCAAAAATATTTGAAAAAAAATTTTTACGGCGCGTGTATCTTGAACTATTTGAAGAATCATTGAACACCTCATTACCAATATGTACACACAGAAGAATATCTGTGCCAACCGGTAGGGGAGATATGGAAATCACAAAAATATTTGAGAAAATACATTTTCTCAATTATTACGGAGTGTGTCATCTTGAACTATCTCACAGGTCATTGAGCATAATGCTTATCAATACATACACAGAGAAAAATATTTGTGCCAACCCGTAGAAGAGATGGAAATCTCAAAAATATAAAAAAAAATATTTTCTCAATTATAATGGCGCGTGCTTATCTTGAACTATTTGACAGGTCATTGAACATATCATTACCAATACATACACACTGAAAAATATCTGTGCCAAGACGTAGGGGTGGAAGAAATCGAACAAATTCATTTACTAAATTATTACGGCGCGTGTCATTTTGAACTATTCGAGAGATCATTCAACACCTCACCACCGAGACGTACACACAGAAAAATATCTGTGCCAACCCGTATGGGGAGATGGAAATCGCAAAAATAATACAAAAAAATCATTTTCTCAATTATTACGGCGCGTGTCATCCTCAACTATTTGAAGGATCATTAAACACCTCATAACCAATACGTACACACAGAAAAATATCTGTGCCAACCCGTAGGGAAGATGAAAATCGCAAAAATAATCGAAAAAATTCATTTTCTCAATTATTACGGCGCGTGTCATCTTCAACTATTCGAAGGATCATTAAACACCTCATAACCAATACGTACACACAGAAAAATATCTGTGCCAACCCGTAGGGGAGATGGAAATCGCAAAAATAATCGAAAAAATGCATTTTCTCAATTATGACGGCGCGTGTCATCTTCAACTATTTGAAGGATCATTAAACACCTCATAACCAATACGTACACACAGAAAAATATTTGTGCCAACCCGTAGGGGAGATGAGAATCGCAAAATAATCGAAAAAATTCATTTACTCAATTATTACGGCGCGTGTCATCTTCAACTATTTGAAGGATAATAAAAAACCTCATAACCAATACGTACACACAGAAAAATATCTGTGCCAACCCGTAGGGGAGATGGAAATCGCAAAAATAATCGAAAAAATTCATTTTCTCAATTATTACGGCGCGTGTCATCTTGAACTATTCGAGAGATCATTCAACACCTCATCACCGATACGAACACGAAGAATAATATCTGTGCCAACCCGTAGGGAAGATGG